GTTTTTTTTTTTTTTTTTTAAATACTGGCTCATGCACTCTGCCCAGAAGCATAGAATTTCCCTAAGACTGAAAGAAGGTTTGTTTTTATGACAGAAGTGTATGTTAGTGCCAGTAAAGTTTGTTAATCTGATTAAAATGTGGTTTAGTTAGGCCAAAAAAGGTTTGCTCTCAACTGTACTTGGCATAAAAGCTGACAAGAAATAAAAAGCATGTTAATGAAGACATTTAAAAATACTCTTGCAATGTAAACAGTTTTAAAAAGGAAAAAAAAAATTATAACATTGTTTATCAAATGCTAATTTCTTTAATTGTATAAAATTGAAACATCTGTTAATGGGAATTATTTTTACAAGGTAGTATTTTCTATAATCAACCARTCATTCAATTTTATACCTCTAGTGTTTTCCTGTTGTTGTATATGTGCCAAGAAATATTGGCTGTTTCTCAAATGTATGGTGTTGTGATAGCTGTATATAGTTTTGGAATTCTGTGTCATGCTGAGTTCAGAAAAGCCAGGGCTTTTTGCCTCTTCTAAACTAGGAGTTTATGGAGGGTCTTTTGGGGATTGGTACCTACGCCAATCTTAAATAGTTATTGTCTGATGCCTTGTCTGATAGTCTAGACAATTCTATGGCCCTCTGGGTTTTAGCAGGCCTTTAAAGAAGTTGGGCACAAAACATTTCTGGAGAGAGGCCAAATGCTTTAAAACACCTTCTGAAATTTAAAAAGTCATGATTCCTACTGTTTTGTTTATTGGCATATTTAACTTTTAATGACAGGTTGCATGATAGTCTTAAAAATAACTCTGACCAATGTTTTTGCTGCCTTTTCTCTCCATCTTGGGACTAAATAACRCTCTCTGGTGTAGCTGTTATAATGCTCAGTGACTATTAAGCATACCTTTCTCTCCAATCAAGYCTCTTCCTCCTGTTCCCCCAGAAAAAGTCCTAAGCCAGGAAGTTTTGAAAAACTAGYGTTTTTTCATAGTGTTAGTAGTTTGGAATTTGAACAGCCTATTATCACTCCTGTTGCTACTTTAATACATTTGCCATGTTGATGCTCGTTTCCAGGAAAAAGGTGTTTTGCTAAAATTCACTGTTCTTGTAATGTTTATTTTGAATAACAGTTTGATTGGATGCTGGTGCGCAGATCCTATGGTGGGTTTGCTGCTTACACGCACTTCTAGAGGGGTAGTTAATGGCAGCAAAACCCGGAATAGGAGCTGCAGCTGCTGGGTATGGGTAGTTGCACCTTACGTCTGAAATAATTGCATAATGCTTTAAAATTTCAATTTGAGTGTTGAGAAGTACTTGACCTGACTGCTGGTGACTTGAATCAGGTATTGCAATTCATGCTGTTTCCATGTTCTGTCACTTGGGTACTGCAGTTATTGGAGCTGCAGTATTAGAAATATAGAAAGTGTTGTTGCTCATATTCTATACCATTTACCAAATACAGTGATTCAAAGTTTTGCTTATTTTCAGATGGTTTCCTGTAGAATTTACACACAACTGTTTAAACTTTTCATTTCTTGGCTATTGAGCTTCTGCTCACTAGCGCAGAAGAATGGAGATCACTCCTCACTGTCTCATGAATTGTCTGTGAAACATGCCCTATAGAGAAGGAAGAAAGGCCTAAAGGGGAGTTTTCCTCCCAGTGTGTTTATCAACAGTCAGGGCACTATGGAAAGACATTGCAGAGATTTCTCTCTGCCCAGAGAAGGTGAGGATACTGGTTATAGGATTCTTATCATCTTCCGTATACCCACAGAGCTATCAGTGCACTTCCTGACTTCATCTGTATCTGTAGATCACAGATGTGTGTTTCTTGTGTCATCATGGCTGTAATTTTTCTGCTTCAGCCTAAAGGACCCCATCAGAGCCTGCCCATCAGGTAAAAGAATGAACTACAGTACAGTTACTGAGAAGAGCTGTTGGATATTCAGTTTCTTAAGCTGAATAACATCTCATCTAGGTAGTACAGATCACTTCCGTTGATTGATGTGAGGCAACAAAAGAACTTTACCCAAAATTCCTGTAAGAGGGCTTCAGGTACTTTGGACAGTCTTTTCTAGATCTCCTTTTCATTCTTTTGAATCTTAGTAAGAGCAAAGGAGTATTAACATTTCTCATTTCAAAATGCAGAAAGGTTTAGTTGTATCAGCCTGAAGTACATATCTATGTGTAGGAATCAATCAAGCTAGTGTTTCTGATAGACAGAACACAAAAATTACCAACCTCATTTATTCCTTACAGGTCAAGACAAGTCTGCTCAAGGCAAGAGTTATGTATGAAAGGATAAAAATTAAAGGATTCTTCCTTAGATGTAAAAGGAGAGAGAGCATGATCTTGATGTAAGAAAAAGAAATTAAAAACAAGTAATTCCTAACAGCTTACTTCAGATTGATCTTCCAGAAACTGGTTAGCTCTTTCTGTGAGGAGAACACCAATGGACAAAATCCTCATAATGCTTTTTATTTTCCCCTTAAATTTCACTTTGGATCTTTGTGTCTTCTGCTGAAGAAGAGACATGAATCAATTAAGACCAAGTACTTCTCTTTTCTACACTCCTAAAGCTGCAATAGATGATCTCATATTGTTTAGTGTATTGAAGGTGATCCATAKTCTTTTTCCTGTGAATAGGGTCTTTCATGTAAAAGATGATTTCTCACAGATGCCCTAGACAGATTCCTGTTTGAAAGGAACCTTCAGTTAGCTGGGTCATGCTGCTTCCTCTGGGCTGATCTTCTCTGATACTTTGTGTTGTTTTGAATATCTTGATACCTTCTGTTGCTGTAAAAGACTATTAACTTCAGAAGTCAGTAGTGTTTGTAGGCTTCACCTGAAATTAAGCTGGTAGTGCTGTATATGGATGGCATTGTAGCTGTGAATTATAGGTAACTAGCATTAGAGCAACTTGCAATGCATTAAATCTCAGGAATTTTTGAAATTACCCAAAGAACATTCTATTTACAAGAAAATCTTTAAGAAGAAATAATGCTTTCACTGCTACTGTTCTTTTATAATATTTTTCTTAGTCAGCAAATACAGAGCAGTAGAAAGTTGCATTGGATATGTTCTGTTTTTTTGTATTTTATCTTCTTTCATTTTTCTTTTGTCTCCTTCACTGGAAGAGAAGAGTACAAACATCAGCCTGGAGACATCTTTTGGCCAAGTACATTTTTTTGCGTGTTCATCAGTTATTCTTTTCAAGCAGGAAGGCCTCCTTTCACAAGAACATGCATATGGGATGAAAAGGCTGAACCTCACTCTCTTAATCTGTGCAGGTTGGTCTGAAATAATGAAAGAGTCAATGCTTTGTCCAGTTGAACAGTATAGGAGCACATCTTGGTCTCAAGTTGATGAAAGGTCATGAAATAAAAAAAAACAATCATTTTTGTGAACCACTCTCTATTTAGACTACAGCCTCTTACCYTAGCTTGAAATACTGTAACCATATTCAGGGACCCAGAAGCAGAGTATCCTTCTGCATGCCCAAGCAGTTTCTCTGGAAGGAACTTGCTGATTTTTCTGTTTTAATTACTTTAGGATATCAGGGTTTGTCCTTGATGGCTTTATATGTCACTTGTTTAAAAAACAAAATGTTTTTTTGTGTGCTACTCTAACTGCAAAATTGCGGTGGTTTTAATGGAAAAGCCTTTTTTATCCCCCCATTTTCTTGTGTTATTTTGAGCACAAAGAAAGCAGCTTTTTTTGAGCAGGGGAAAGCTTGTAATTGAAGAACATGTGAGGTATCTAACCATATGAAGCTATTTTGTTTAGGTTGTGCTCTAGAGGAAAGGATGAAGAAACACCACCAATTGCCCCAAAATGAATTAAGCGAAATGGTGTCAAACACAATGAGCAATGTGCCTTCTTGGCTAACTGTTGGATCATGCTCTACCTGATGCCTTAGGAGCAAAGAAGAGCCCTGCAGGTAAAATGATGATGCCTCATGTGCCTCAGCTCAGTGGCTGCCCCACATGCAAATGCCAGACACTGCTGTTGTGCAGAAGGTACTGCAGCACATAATAACCAGTAAATGCATATGGGAGTAGTTATTCCTGTAGCTGTAAGAAGTCCAATGACTTTGGTCCTGTTTTTTTGCATGTTGGCTCCATACTACTGATAAAACTTTACAGGAGTCTCAACCAGCTTTCAGGATTTGTAAAGAAGAAAATTTCAGATTTCTTGTGCATTATATTTTTGTTAGTCTTGTAATGGCAATTACCTCCTAGGGCATTTGGGTCTTCAGAAATAAAGAGAGAAATATATTAGAAATCCTGAAACATTATGCAGGAATTTGAGTAGTCTTTTAACAGCAGTCATAATATACCTAGGTTAAATCAAAGGCTGTCGCAACAGCATTAAACTGCTGTTAGTTTTCAATCAATCTGATTTTGGCCAATAGAGTAGAAGACTTGAGATTGGACTGAGACTTTTACAGAGGATTTGGGAGTGGTGTTAGGAAGTCATTAGTGAGGGAAACATTCAGGTAAGTATGACCATTTGTTTTTAAAAGAGATTATGGGGAGACTTTCACTGCATTGCAATAGGTGCCATTTTTAATTCACTGGAGAAAAAGTGAACAGAATAGAGATTTTTTTTTTTTTTTTCCAAGAGCGCATAAATTTCCCCCTCTCCCCACCTACATCTACTTGTAACAAACTGAGAGAACTTTCTGGACAAAACATCTTATGATTGATCTCATCTATTGGTAGATGTCTTAATAGTCTTGAAAGTTCATAGTTCAACACTTTGGGGTTTGGTTTTTTTGGCATCAGAGCATGAAAAAATTGCATGTCTACTACTCATCTTTTGTCATCCTCTCCTATTGCAGTGACTATGTGTATGTCTCTGTGTGGCAGAAAATGAGGGAATACAGATCATTATTCAAGAAGTTACCRACTAGCACTTTTCCTTCCCCTCCAGTCTTTCTGCCTCCCTATCCTGGAAGTATGGAGTCCCTGCCTCAGCCTACGGCTTCATTCTTTTTCCAGCTGCCCACAAAAGTAAAGAACCAGTGTGAGAGTTTGAAGAAAGAATCCACTCAGAGGACTGAGTCTAAAGGAAAAGCTCCAGGTTGCAGACTCAGAAAGAAACTTCCTTTGGGGAAGGATCTGCTTCCAGGATTTGCTCGTCTCTTTTTCCTTGGGCAAACAGTTCTTGAAGCAAACAACAGGGTTGCAGGTAGGTAGGGCCCCTTTGAACTGCCATCCACTCAGGTGTGAAGGATGGACTTTATGCTGTTTCTCTGTGCATTTTTTTGGGTTGATGTTGACCTCCACTTCTGTAGGCTAAGAGAGGGAAAGAGTGTGAACATTGTAAAGAAAATGGGCTGGGGAGAGAGAGAGGAGAAAAATGTCCTGGGCACTTGGGAAGAATGCCTCTGTGTAAGCTTGCTGTCCATGGGTCATATTTATACTTCAGTTCTGTGAAGCACTCTARAGACATTCTTGGTGTGACCCTTCTCTAGACAGGAAGCTAAGTCAAGAGCAGAAACTGCTGGCTGGAGGCAAGGGCGGTGATTGTATATGGTTCATAGCCATACAGTTTTCATTTCCTCCTTGTCTCTTTACACTAGTGCTAGGTTTGAATGTGCAGTGAGGTAGAGATCATCAAATGATTTTGAAATCTGACATGATTCCCAGCACTGAAAAAGTTTCCCAATTCTAAACATTTAAATACATTTCTTCCTTTAGAGAGCTTGTGGCTACTGGGTTTGTAAAGTCCTGTTCCTTTGTCCATATGAGGGAAATAGACTGGAATACTGTGATAAAGGGGGTATGCTGCTAACCCACACAATCAGCAACCCCTCAGGTCCAGAGAACCAGCTCAGGTAAATTCTGCCTTTCTCACATCATGCTGTGCAGAGCAACAGCCTCTTCCTTGCAAGCATCAGTAGCCCAGACTCAGACCTTTCTGATTTTTTGCAAAAGAAATCACTTGAAAACTGGCAATGAAATTCTAAGGAGATTTCACCAGTTCCTCTTTCGTGCTGAGTTGAAGTCATTTGGAACTATGTTACGTGCATTATTACTTTGGTGCATCTTGTGACTCTTCTCTCCCTCTTCATTCCCTCCAAATTGCTTCAGGACACCTTCTAACCTTTATACTGCATCACAAGCCTTCAGCAGAAGATCTTATGTTGCTGGAAGATGACTGGGTTTGGATCTTGGCCTTCCCTAAGCAGGACCTTCTGACAAAAAATGGGATTGGGAAAGAAATGAGACCTTTTTCCATCACACAGAACCACCTTAGAAATGGAGGCCTAGGCAGAAAATTACTTCTAATGCATCGTTCATTAGGAAATGTGTTTGGCCTCCCACAGTTCTTTTGTTACAGTGTCATATAGATGTCTTTTATAAAATCTAAATCTAGAGTCTTCCTATCTGATGATCAAGTTGGTAAATCCAAGATTAAGGGTTTAAGTCTAATAATGTGGTCAGATCTTGCTGTCCCTTGCATAGGAGGTGCCACAATAATCTGTCAAACAGGATTCTTTCTACTGTGGTTCAGATTGTTGTATTTGTAAAGCCTTTTTTACTTAAATTAACATGATTAGAAATAATACTAATAAAGGTTCTTGTGAAAGTTGTATTTAATTAGACTTCTACCTTTCAGGTTTACTTGAAAATAAATTTGAGCCAAAATGTCACAATGGACAATATGGGATGTACTGCATCTTTTGAGGTTTCCTGTGGCTTTGTGTCACTAAAAAGTATGTTGGAAGTGTAGAGAGCTATTAAAGTAGAAAAACTGAGATTTTTCTTGAAGAGTGAGAAGTTATTTGTTAGAAAGCAGAAATCTCTTTAATTGTTTTCCCCCTAAGGGATTCTGTAGTCAGACCTAATTAAATGTCTTGCAACATCTCAAATGAAAACCTTGTGTTTGGCAGTAGTGAACAACACACACATGCCTGTGTACTTTTGTTGTTCTCTCTATAGGAAATTGGTTTTGAAGAATGGGACTTACTTTAATGTTCAGATTAGAAAAGGGCAAAGTTTTGTTTTGAAGCAGAGTGTGAGAATAGGGGACAGGAGGGCATACCAGACCCTCTGGCAGTAGGCAAAGAGCACTTTTGTTTTTCTGTTTTCTGCTTCTGGCAGTTGAAGTAAACTAGCCAGATACTTGTACTTGAATGCCGTTTATTTCTTAACTCAGTTACCACAAAACATTGTTTTTTAACTCATGCCTAGATCTTTTGTTAAATTCACCAACTTACTTAATTTATTCAGTGGTCTTAACATAGCCCTGAGGCTACTGCTTCATGGCAGTTGTGACTTCTTACTATGCCGGAATGCATTGCAGCCCTCGTACATTCTAAAAATAATTGTTCAGATGGTGCTRTTTAAGTACATACTTACGTAGTGAGCCATTTTCACTGGACTTTCTGAAACTGGCATTCTATTGGATGGCTTTTTAATGTCTTACTTTGCTGTGAGTATCAAACTTGTTTGTCTTTCTGCTTATGTGGTTATTGAGTAAAGTGCTGAATTTATAATGTGATATTTTTAGAGAACTGATAGTCAGATGTGTGTGTTAAACTGAAACCACAGGAACGCTTGTTAACTTACAAGTTTAAAAAGAAATCAGCTTAACTCCAATGTATCAAAATCAATCCTGTTAGAATATGTGGAAATATGTATGTGATGAACATAAAATTGAGTAGTTGTTACAGGTATAGACATGAATTGTCTGAACAGAAGTAATCTAGAAGTTAATAGCTCTGGGTCTCAGAAATGAATTCTAACATCGACGACTAGAGTTTTGTGCCAGCAGTGCTTGTAGTTGAAAATACCTGGTTTTCTAACTTCTAGTTCATTTAAGGTCTGATATCCTTTGTGCCTTAAYAGATATGCTTGCACTTGCCTCAGCCATAGTTTTTGTGGATTCTGTTCTCTGGTGGGTGTGTTTAGGACTGTCAGATACTTAGAAAATGGGCACTGAGATCTGTTTATGTTATTGTCTCAGTTCCTAAAATGGCTTTACTCTTCCCCATCACAATTAGGAAAAAAACCCCACCAAAATAAAAGCAAAAACCAAACTGAAAACCCTGTTGCGATTCTACAGTCAGTATTTTGATACTTGTCTGTCACCATTGTGTTAGCATGTTTCTGTCATGCACTGAGTTTTACAGCTGGAATCCTGGGTTCTTGATACATCGTTAGAGCAATAACTCCTGCCTTTTTGTTATTAAATAATAAAGATATCTGAAACAAGTTTCTTCTTGTTTATATTGTACTTGCCATAAGTGTATGAGTATTGAGTGACTCCTCTGACAAACTCAAGAATGCCAGGAAACATGGAAAAACACTGATTTCAGAGGTTTTTAATGCCTGGTACTAACAGAATTTTGAAAAACATGATTATTGTGTTCCTATTTTTCCTCTTTCTGTTCTCTTAAGGATTTTCTGAAACATTTGAGCTACCTAACTCACTTCACATAATCCTTAATRTCTTCACCAGATACCAGCTCCTCCTAATTGTTTCATAGCCAGTTAGTAAAACACTGGCTTTTGACACTGTTTTTCCTGTCCCAGAAGAGCTATCTTGTTTAATCTGAAAGTTTTGCTTTCTTCTWTTCACCTTCTGTCTGCCCTCTGTGGCTTATAATGCAACTTTTTCTCTGTTACAGGATGCTTTGAGGAAATACTCTGTAACGATCAGGAAATTTGGGGGAAATTCTTSTTTATGTTGCTACTTTAGCCAGAGCTTAACTTGCCATTTGTGTGAGAGATGCTTTGTCAGTTTAGTTTCAGGAAGGGASATACATCAAAAAGTGTTGTTTTTGTAAGCCAGAAAATGATCTTGATTTTATAAAGAAGAAAGTGAGACTAAAGAGCCTAGGTTTTGGGGTGTTTCTGTCCTCTTGCTTTACACTGAAGAGGTGGGTAACAAAACATGAACAATTTTTGGTAATTTTCTGGAAGCCAGAATGGTTCCATCAACCATGCTGTGCTCAAAGTTGTTTTTCATTCTTTCAGTCCTGTTTGCAGGACATGGGATTTGAGCAGGTAACAGTGTCAAAAGTATTCTTTCAAACCTGTTTTTAATTGAGGAAAGTGGATTCTTGGTTTATCAGACATGAAGGAATCCCCGAGTCTTGAAAGAATGAATGTGATTTAGGGGTAAGTTTAGAAAAAGTGGGTGTAATTGAAATCTGGAAAAAGGCATTTTTTGARCACAGTGGTGACAAATGGTTGAACCCTTCCAGTTTTGTTTTTGCATGGACTTAATGAAGAATTGGCGGCTGCACRCTCCTAGGACAGGTCCGTAAGTTGATGGCAGCAACATGAGGTGAGTTGGTGGGTTGCAGGAATTGTTGTGTTTGCTGTTYGGGTTGGGTTGTCAGTTTAAAGACCATATTAAGTTTGCCGATGATAGTGACACTTCGCTGATTACTTGCTTATTTTTGTAAAGAATATAAACTTACTGTTCTCATGAACTATTCTGTATCATATTGTTTTGTTTCCTCAATTGCTCTGACATGAGTGGCTTTCCTTTGCATTCTCCCTAGTAGAAATGGTTATTTCTTGTTTTTCCCTTGTACTGAAGAAGTGGAGATCAGGAAAATGTGTGGGTTCTAGCCTGGTGTTAAAGAACAGTAAGTGAAGAAATCGTACCTTGCACAAATGGGTGTCACTTTCATGGGTACAAAATAATACTTTTTTTATCTTGAGGGAGAGTTGTAGGAGGTTGCACAGTTAGAGGGGCATATGGCTTGCAGTGGTTTTCTTCTTGGTAGCGATTCAATAATTTTAATCTTACCAGTGTCTGACCTCCCCTTGCCAAATTCAGGTTGAGATATCACCTGTAATTCTGAAGTAAATAGCTTTTGAATAAATAACTTCTGTGGATATAAATGGATTTAATGAGATCATAATTGATCTTTGAAGATAGAAATGTGATTTATATATATTTTTCAAAACTATAACTTAGTCCTGACTGGAACTGAGATTTCTTCATCTGATGGAATTACTTTAAAATTCGCATTAAAGCATCCTTAWCTATTTGAGTGTTTCAGAGGAAATTCCACATGCTTGCTGCTGTTGTATGTTTAGAACTTTCCAGAATAGTTAAATTTGAAATACTTTTAAAAATTATTTCGTGGTCTCTGGTAGAATGTTTTATTAGATGAGAAAGCAAGAAAAATTGATTTGCAAAGTCTTTGCGTGCGTATGTAAACAATGGAGAGATGAAATCAGACTGAAGTATGTTAGAGTAAGTGAAGAACAGCTGACATCAGTACAGCTGCTGTGTACAGATGGAATGTTCTTGGGTGTCTTCAGGATTACAGTGAAACTGAAGCTTAGTTGGATACTGGAACAGCCCAGGAATTGGACTAACAAGCAGCCAGCTAATGTAGCAACTGTCCCTTAASAGGCAGTAGACTCGACAGAAAATCACTTGAAACAGTTTAGCCTTTTTTCCCCCCTGTGAAAAATGATAGTAGAAAGGTCTGGACAAGCTAAAGATTTATAGCTTGTGTGGTTAGGTTCTCTGGTGTATAATAAAGTRTAAGTGCTGATTTGAAGCTTTATTATGTTTTGGGCATTGGTTGTATTTATCACCTGATGGCGTCTAAAACCTGAGTTAATGCTGCATCTTTTTTAAGGAGAAGAAAGTTAGAATGACTTCTGGACTTGTCCATCSTTAGGGAACTTTTTAAGATCTTGCATATCTTTGACAGCTGCAATACTGTTGCAACTGCTTGAAATTAGAAACAGGTTTAAAAAATGATGTTGGGAGTAGGGATATGCAAAGAAAGAACTTTGTTTCTTTTCTAATGAACAGTGGTGGTAAAAAGGAGACTATGCTACATCAAAAGCTAAAATGTTTGTTGTAGCACATTCTCATGAAATCTTTTAGCTTTTTTATGTGCTCAGTTTTACCTTTATAACATCCTTGAATACAATTAATATTTTTGATACATTGCCTATTGATTTCAAAACTTTGTAAAGCGGTATTTACTAAGCACACAAAGTAACTAATTTCTTAAGAGTTTAGGGAACAATAGTGCTTTCTTCTGGTATGTATTATACTGAGGATGTTCTAAGAAGTGATTCTTGTATTGATTTTTTTTTTTTCTCTTTATAATTGTACAGGTGATACCTTGTAAGTATCTGTTCCCTTGTATTAGTKCTAAATTTAATCAGTTTTTTTTTAGCTGTTCTTCCCTATACTTGCATCTGCTCTGGCAACTTTTCCCATCTACCCTTTTTGAATGAGTACACTAGTCAGGTCTCTGATACTTTCTTTTTAACTAGCTCAGAACTGGTTTGGTTTTGGGGTTTTTTTTTTNATACAGCTTTGCAAATGAGAACGATGAATAGTAAGGCTACATTTGTTCAGAGAATAAAAACTTTTGTCCCCATGTTAGTCCTCACATGGTTCTCCAAAAATTAATGCTGCTTGGAAGACCTGACTGTTTCTCCACTGCTAACAGTCAAATCAGTGCTTCCAATATGGCAGTACTGAAGCAACAGGGCCTTTTTCTCTCCAGGCAACCTTAACACCCAAATTCCTACTTGCAGTTGAACTCCAGTTACTGTTTCAGATTAATTTTCTGCCTCCTTCAAAGACTTCATAAAATGGTAGTTTTGATGACAATGTGATAATGATACAAAAGGCTGTCTGTGCTCCTTGCCCATCCTTTACAAATTTGCCAGTTCAACATTTTTCTACAGACTTCAGTGCCACATATGAATGGATGAGATAAATCTCCACTTGCCATTGCACTTAAGCAGTGAATGGTTTGTATTKCCACATTTTGTCACCCTGAACTACCATCTGTTTTGTGTCCCTCTTTAAGTGCCTGCTGTTTCAAAATCTGGCTTGTTTCTTGATTCTGTGTACTTTCTAAAGAAATTCTCCTTTCTGCCTTTCTGTAAATACCAAAGTATATGCAAGATGTTRTGCCTTGACTAGCTCTTCCTATTTAGTTCTTTGCACAGAATGCAGAATTGGATTGGAGATGTTTGAGAACCACATGGTGTAATTCTTTGATTTAGAGAGTAGTCTTATAAGTTTGATTGGCATGTGATACTCAGTTATTGTCGGGTCACTACTTTTTGGAACTTTGTTTTTATGTGAATTTCATTGGAATAAATCATGTAGTGACTAGCTTTCTGCAAGGCAGATGTTCTTGTTGCCTGAAGGAWTTTTTTTCTGCACTGTCTAAAAGAAAATTCAGCAGAACTACCAGAGCCCCCAGTTTGTTCCCCCCTTCTTTGCTYCTGTGTTTCCTCATGAATTTCTGGTATAATGAAGTGGTTTTGTTTACTTCACAGACTCCACCCACCATTTGGAGAATCAATGCAGGTTAGATAATCCCAGAAATTTCATTGCTTTCCGTATAATACGTAACTGAATTTACAAAGTAATTTATGAAGTACAGTAATATCAGTAAAGCCTCACCCTCTATCAAAAGATAGGAATTTACTTCTAACCTAAAATTACAGTGACTGTACTGTGCTATGAATGTTTTTTCCACCTAAATCTGAACTTCAGCTTAGTCTATGTAAAATTCAATATGTAATTCTTTTCTCCTTTTTCTCTCTATGCCAAGGAGAATTTGCTTGTTATATGAGATCCGTGGATGGTGCTTCAGTACAAACATAACGAATTTATTTTATAAGATAAGGGTTTTATCTGCATTCCAAATGGATGTCAATTCCTCATTTTCACCTAAAGTTAAAGATTGTTCCCACAAAATTCTGACTTTAAMATAGTCTGTCATACAAGGATTTTGCTAAGAGAGAAATACTCCTAGGGTAGAGTTTTTGTACCTGTAGTATAAACTATGGTGTAATATGTGATACATTTCTTTTGAACATGACACAAAAATAATTATCTTCAGGGACTGGTGATTATACCATTGGGTTTTTTTTTTTTTCTTCACAGCTTGAGGTGATTTAGAAAGGAATAATTTGTACCTGTGAATGGGGGGAAGCTTTGTTAGTGAAGACCACCAATTTCTAATAAGCCCTCTGCCCCTGTTGCCTAGCTGCTGTCTTACTTAGCACACTGACCTTATTTTTTTTTGACTGTCTGTAGTAGTATCTTCTTTGTCTAAAGACAATAGGAAGATTTTTTTCATTGTTTGTTAAATACTTAAATGCTTATATGGTTTTTTTACTGTGCTGTTAGTGACAGCTTCAGCTGTGAGTTTGTTAGCCTTTTGCTAAATGAAACCGTTTTTGCAGGTATGGGAACTAGGCATATATTTGTAGT